TTGGGTTTGCATTCCTGATTATCTTTGTGATTGAAATGTGATTAGCTTGGAACAGAATGTGAAGAATTTCCTATTTTTACACCATCTAGTCTTTATATTTCAACAGGGGGAGCAGACTGTGCCGTGATTGAACCAGTTTATTCACATTTTATAGTCTGAGCCGTACTAACCATCATTTCAGGAAATAGTCAGGTCCTTTGCTATTTGCACACTTTATAGTCTTGTAGTTAATTTTTTACTGATGAAATATAAAAAAGAATCTTGTTTTCCCCATCAACTCACCCTCAGTAAACCATAGTGGCAAAGCAGACATATGCCTTTAGATATTTTTGCCAATTTATCAAAATCAAAAACTTAAATTTTGATTTACAAAACCGGCTCCAGGTTGTGGTTGGATGCTTTGATCATCCTTGTGGTGTGTCTGGAACTTGATTAGACTGAATTGGATAAACACTAAACAAAAATATAAGTGAAGCATGCAACTGGTTTTCCTTTCTGACTTGCAGAAAAGCTAAAAATCTTATTTCTATTGTTCTGCTTAGCAAAAGGCTTACGTTTAACCAATTGTGTACAAAAAGCTTTTGAGCTGTTCAACTGGTAACAAATTCTCCACCACTGAGTTAATGTGCAGCGTAGCCAGGTGTGGCTTCAGAGGACAGCGATCAGACAGTGTGACCAGTGCACTGACACTCCCTTGAGCAGTGACTTTAAAAGGTCACCTTAAAAGGCAACTTAATGCAAATGAGCACAATGTCACAGATGACAAAGGAAAGATGTTGACGCTGCAGTTCTTATTTTTGTTTATTGTAGTTTAGAAATGCCCACTTTTGTGTGTCTTTGAGTCCACATTTTACACTGCATGTCAGGACAAGCACTCAGTAGAGCATCATGATACAGTTGTGGTGGAGCATAGATCAAAGTATGTCGAAGGAACACACTGACTTCAACAAGTGTGAAACAGCCAAAGTTTGAAGGCTCAAGGACCATTCCTAGAACAAACTGTATGAACAATCTCAGTAACTGAGCAAGTGAATCTCTGGACAAGAGATGTCAACAGATTTTTTCACATTTCTGTAAATACTAGCATTTTAAACACCTTATTTCTGTTTCTTCAAACAGCATGCTGGTGAATGCTTTTTTGTACGTTGTTTCTTATCGATCTGTATGTAACATGTGTGAGCTATTGCATACCTTGAATTTCCCCAAGGCGATGAATTATCTATCTATCTATCTATCTATCTATCTATCTATCTATGGCAGTGTGGCAAGGTGGACGCCCCTCCGAAGGGCATGAAAGCTTCCATGAAGTTTGTCAAACAGTGTTTAGGACTCTGAGAGTACAATGAGTCAAAATCTGAGCTGTTTTTGCCCAACTCCAAACACTATTCCAAGTGAACACCAGGAATTGTTTATCACTTGCTAACACTACCTCTACAGTGAAGCATGGTGGTGGCAGCATCATGCCAGGGGGATGCCTCTCGGCATTGTGATCACGGAGAAAGGCCAGAACTGAGGGAAGGATGAATGCAGCCAAAAACAGACAGTCCTTAAAGAAAATCAGTGACATCAGGGTGCCACACAAATTCAGCTTTCAGCCCACTGTAAACCAAAACAAACTGTCAAGACACAGGAATGACTTCAGGACAAATCTCAGACTGTCTTTCAGTGAAACAGCTAAAGCCCAGACTTAAAGTCCACAGAACCTCTGTGAAAAGGTCAAAAGATGGCAGCTTAGAGCTGCATCCCATCCAGTCTAATAGCATTTTAGAGAATCCGCTGGAAGAATGAGATAAACTGCCAAGATTGTCGAGAAAGAAGACCTGAAGCTGTAATGATGGCACAAGGGGCTTCTAAAAGCATTCACTTAAAGCTCTAAACACTAAATGAAAGCTTTCAGTTTCAAATTTTTAGTCAACTTGTAAAAATTCCTGAAAATATATTTACATTTTGTTATTTTGGGTTATTGCATGTAGATTAATGGGTAAAAATGTCAATTTTCTTAATTTACAAATGAATGCGTCAACACAAAGTGTGCAAAAGGAAAAGACTGCATATCCGTTTTTAATACAAATTAAGACAGCACATATGCAGGCTTTTAAAGACACAAACTTCTTCATCCAGTCTGACATGCTGAGGAAATGAATTGGCCACGGAAGCAACTCTCTGCTGGTTTCCAGCCCTGTGAACAATCCCTCCATTTTCAAGATCATGAGAACCCTTGTGTCAGAGCAGAGAGATGCGCTATCGGTATGACTGCAGTCATTGGAGCCGGCGTATGCATCAAATTAGCAGCACAGAGCCACATGACCGGAGGGCAGAGAAGAAAACGAAAAAAATGCAGTATTTCTGGTACTGACATTTAATCCATGACAGCAGAAAAATGTTGCTTCAGACAGACGGACATGTGTTTAAAGGCAAGAGGAGTTTAAGAAAAAACACACTGGAGAATAATCACCCTTTGATAAATGTTCATTTAACCAAGCAAATCACAATCACCTTATTTGTCAGCAGGAGACATTCCTGAGATGACACCATTTGAGTCATTCTGCTGACAGATTTGTTTACAGACTCAACTTAGAATTCATTATGTCAGCTTGGATTATTACTAATTTCTTCTCGGGTCATTTGAGAACACTGCAAATACAACATTGTTTACGTTGCTTTTTAGGGTTTTTTTTTTGCGACATCCACACCGAGCCGCTGAGTCTATTCTTCAGTAGAATTTTCCTGTTGAGCCATTTTGTGTTGCTGTGTAGTCGGTACAGTATATCCAGGCTGTCTCAGCAGCACTGTGGGGTCCTCTTGCGTCTGCGGTGGGCGTCTGTGTTGTCTGTGATTCCTGTGTGCAGCATAAAATAAAAAAGAAAAGGTTTTGGTTGTGAGGCGACTAGTGTGAGCATTTTTCATATTGTCAGCAAATTCAATGAAAAGACCAACACCAACAATGAACTGATCCTATAAACGGTACGGAAGGAAAACTTCTGACACTAAGACATAAATGAGTCACACAGCTGTACAGGGACGCATGTTTCTTCTTCACAGTGAACATCTAGGTTACATACAAACAGTGAAAAATCTACGTCAAAACCTTCCGAACAGGAACAGTTAAGTGATTAGCTTAAAATCGAGCTCTGTGGTCTCTATAAAAATGTCGAGCTAGCCCAGTTGATTCTGAATTTGTCTCAAAATGTCAGAAGGAAAAGAACTAAATGACTTTGAAAGAAGTTTCTTTGTTGGGGCACAGATAGATTCAGTCACAGAGGCTGCTCAGCTAGCAATGTTTTATTAGGAACCATGATTAAAGAAACATCTGGAGCTATGTGAAAGACAACAGTAAATAAGGTTAGAGATTGTGGTCACACATTTGGCGACAGTGATCTTTCCGATAAGTAAAGAAAAGCAGAAGAGTAAGTCTTCCTCGGATGCTCAGGGCATTGTGAGCAGGCGCGTTGTCATGGTGAAGCAGCCGTGACTTGTCCTGCCACAACTCTCGCCTCTTCTCGCGCACTGAATGAAGCAAACGCCACAGGACCTCTTCATAGACATGCCGGTTGATTGTCTGAAGGGGAAAACTCGTAGTTTGGGTTTGAAATATATCTTTTGTGACACCAGTCCTGGAACTGTTCTGACACACTTCATACTTCATACCCCCTCCAGTGAAAATCAAGTTTTTATCTTGTTAACACGTCCATATGGTTTTGTTTTTATGTGCTAGAAGACATATCATGCACAAAAATAGCAATCAAAACCATCGTTGGGTACTGCTGTGTTCAGATTACAGCCTCAAAAACACTGATTCAGACTTTTAGGGTTCCATACGCAACAAATCTAAGAAACTAATCCTGCTAACTTGCAAGTTAGGGCTTTCTGTATGTTTGTTCCACCTCAGAATTGGTTTCCATTTCGAACATGTATGGAGGAATTGCTCTAAAATTGCAACTTAGTATTGTGTTGCATAAAGCAGCTGCTCAGCTGCAGCAAACAAGGAGACATGGGGACTTCACGGATCTGCACATTTTAGAGGAAGCAACCATGTAGAGTTACTTCTGAATCGATTTAAGACAGGAAGGGTTCATTTTCAGGGAAAATACTTCTAAGTATGTAACTTTGCTACAGAGATGAGTTTGCATGGGTTTAAAAATGACCTCAGAGGAAATTAAATTTTTCAGGCTTCTATAAATCTGTCAAATCAAAGCGTCTGGGAAGATAAATCACTTTTTGATTAATCTGCTCACATTCTATTAAATATGACAAAGGGTCACATTGGACTTTGCTTTATGTGCCCTGAGGAGTTTTTCACCGCTCATAGTACTATGGTAGTGTTGCACACATGCAAGCGTGCACATGAGGAAACATGTGATTGGATACACATTCCTCTAGCTGGTGTCACGCTGCTCCACTGACAGTTCATGGCATTAAGAAGAGAAAAAAAAAGAACTCAAATCGGTTTGGAAATGTTATGAGGAAAGGAGGCATTTCACATTTGATGCAAATGCAAACATAACTTGTGTTTGTCTCCACAAAAAACAAGGCATCTTCAACTTTAGAGAGTAAAAGAAAGAAAAGGTGGTCAGACCGCCCTGAAAGTGAACTGACTCACTGATTATGTCACCGACGTGCCTCGACCCACTTTTCTCGAGCTCAGACAAAACGTTGGCCTCAAAAGTTAAAGAAGCCACACGGAAGAAGAACTCCCTGACACCATCTCCTGGAACAAACAAGAGACAGAGAGCACAGTTTAGTGAGCCAAACAAGGGATTAAGAATAAAAAAAGAAAAGCATGTCTTGTTGATGACTGTGTGTGTTTATCTCCCACCTGACTTTGCAGACACGGCCCAGTACTCTGCTTTGATTTCCTCAGAGAGTCTGATGGCTTCCTGCTCGACCTGAGACAGCTGATCAGGAGACTGAGGGTGAAATACAGACAGAGAGAGATGAGGGTATCTGGGAAGTCGCTTCTACAGAATCTGTCTGGCCCTAACCTAAAAGTAAAATGCTCATAGTTGCAAATACTCACTGATTAATCACTTAGGTCAATCAGTACAATACTCATTAGCAACTATTTTAATAATTGGGTCCCGACCGCAGAACATTTGATTGTTCCAAGTTCTTACATGTGAGAAATTACTGTTTATCGCTGCTTTTTTCTATGATTGCAAACTGATTTTTGGAGGGATTTTGGACATTTGCTTGGACAAAAACAGCATATCTAATAGAAAACATATTGTATTGTATTTATTTGCATTTCGAGATCGAGAAATCCCAAATATTATAGCCCTGGAGGAATTATTTATCATTCATTTAGAAATTTGAATTATCAACATCTATCTATCTGTCTGTCTAGAATATGTAAATAAAAATCATTCATTCATTCAAGGTGGTCACAGGTTGTTTTTGTTTTGTTTTTCTTTCTATTTTACAGTGGTTGCATCTGAATCAACAAACAAAATTTTACCTCAAAATAATTGCTGGTTAATTTTCTGTCCATCAACTAATCAATTCATTGACTAAATAATTCAGCTCAGTTTGCATTTTAAGTCATTTGTCATAAACTTCACCCACGCTGAGGTCCTTCTTGGTACCAACCAGGAACAGCAACACACTGGATGGATCATTTTCCTTCATTGCATCCTCCAGCCACTGCCTGCACTCACACATAGACAGATTTAAAGCCCCATTAACGGCATTTTAATGATACAATTATCACAGAATAATGAGATATTCTTTACCTGGCATGTGTTAAAGAGCTTGCACTGCTGAGGTCAAACACGACTATTATGGCTGAAGAAACATAAAAAGAGTTTGAACAGAAGAAGAAAACAGAAGATGCACAGCTTTAATCATGATACACTGTGGAGGTCGAGCTAAACTCACCTTGTGCTCCTCTGTAGTAGGTGGAAGCGATGCACTTGAACCTCTCCTGACCTGCCGTGTCCCACCTGAAAGAGATTAGCAAGCTAAGATGCATAATTACCAGCTTTATTTGAACAAGACTTTGATTTTACAGACAAGATGTAACAAAAACAGTACAGTAAATGTATATGCACATTTAGAGGCAACATAAAAAAAGGAAAAACTTGCATTTGAAGTCCTACTCAACAGTCTGAGCATCATGAAATCAGATTATGTGGAGGATGTTCAGCCACACAAACATCTAATCATGAGATTTCATTTAAACACAGTTTTCACTTCATCGTGTGTGTTTTCAGATGTAGGATGGTTCACATTCAGCAGACTGTGTCGACCTTCTTATCCATATGGTCAGTTAACACAGTAAGTCTATAAACACGGCATTTCTCCGCGTTTTAGTCAAATACTTACAGCTGTAAACTGAAGGGAACGCCAAGCACCTCGAAACGCTCCATCTCAAAATCCACCCCGATGGTCGCTTTGTAGTTCTTATCAAACGCACCCCTGCAGAACCTTACAGAAGGAAAGATGCCATGAAGACAGGAAGAAACGATTTCAGAGCTGCAACAAATAATGTTTTGTTTTTTTGTAAGCTTTTAATTCTCTTTCAAAGAAAATCTAATAATTTTTTTTATCAGTAACTAATAAATGAGTACTTAATTAAATAAAAACAGAATTTTAGTAGCATGAAAATTGTATTATCATCAGAGCTTTCACCCCGGATGGCACGTCAGGTTTACTGAGAGTAAAACTGGCTCCACTTTCCTCCTGTCGGTCATTTATTATCCTTCATTGCTACTCTGAACATGAGTCTCAGCTCTGTGGACTGCATGTGTTTCAGTCTATGACTAAAGTTAATACACTGTCAGATGTTTTTAAGCACTGTATTTCAAAATGTTGGGCTTTGGGAACGTTATTGGTCATTTCATATATTTGACTGAAAATCTGGTATTGTTGTAGCAGGAAGGTTTGTCGTGCTGCCTCCAAAAATGTGAAATTTAAAAAGATTTGATCTCACTTAGGGAATCTAAAACTACTATCTGCTATTGGTTTATGTAATGATTTTGTTAGAAGAAAATACGTTTTAGCTCTGCAACCTCAACTCGTAATTCAACTTAGGTTCAATCATGTTTTGTGGAATAAAACTTGAAATAAACCCAACATGTCACAAATACAGTTTACTCTGTTAAATCTGGAGTAAGCAATTTAAGTAGTCTTACAAGATGCAGCCTGTTATAGGAGCCAGTCACAGATCTTTTCAGACCACATCAGGTGTGGCAGCAGTCAATAATAAAAGCATCAAAGGCAGTGGAGGCTGAATAGGTTAAACAGACTCTACCTCTGAAGAGTCCAGCTCTGTGAAGCCAAATGTCAGTGTTTCCTTTTAACTTGACTATTTTTAGCACCTTTGAAGCACATGTATGCTGTATGTCTGTGCATATCTGGTTGGAGGAGCGTTGGAGAGCTGTATCTTCAAATTCTGACTTTTTTTTTTTTCCTGGCTTTTCCAGATTTCTACCTACTGCAGCTTTAATCTAATTTATCATGACGGCTTCTTACCTGCTGATAAGACATGTTTTCCCAACAGCAACATCACCCACTACAATGACTTTGGCGATATTAAAGCTGTGAACAGAAAGCAGATACTGTCAGCCGTTACCCATGACTCCACACAACAAGAAGAAAATACACAACAACATGGATTACATGCAGAAAACACAGAAAGTAGTTAATTGACTCCCTTAAGTTTCTTCTCATGAGCCTCCTTAAGCTTTTATATTCTCATTGAGGTGACTGACTGCGAATGAAGCAGCCATTCTCATGATTAAATTACAGAAAAGTTAGTATTGTTGAGGCACTTAAGCTTTGTAAACGAATGATTAACAGCTACTGATGAGTTTTGGCATTTCATTATGTCATAGAAAAGCACAACACAGTTCAGCTGCTTATTTGGCCTTTTTACGTTAATCCTTTAACCTCTTAAGACCCGAGCTCTTGCTTGCATTGCAGGAAAAAATAAATAAATTAAAATAAATAAATTTTAAAAAATAAAAAAATATATATAAATAACAATATTAAAATAATAATAAAATAATAAATATAAAAATATATATTAAAAATTAAATACTATGGTAATATAACCCAAAATGTGATGTCCATGTACGTGGACACAAGGTCTTAAGACCTTAAATTGTTCTTTTTGCACTCAGTTTTGCTCCATTTTTAATTGAGCAATGTTAATAACATATATTTATTAAACTATTTTGTGTGGAACTAAGGATTGAATGCACTAATTGGGGGAGGGGGATATGTCAAAGCTATTATTTTAATGTGCCTAAAACACATAGATAATCTTTGAAAAGTCAGAATCTACATGTGTGATAATGTTCTAGATTTTTCTTGTTGCGAACAAATGCCTTGAAAACAGTAAAATGAACAGTGATCTGTAGCTCAAGCCTGATATTGTATATTCCTCTCTGACTCTGTTGTGGTCCATTAATGATTATATGTGATACATAATGATTAAAACACGTCTGTGAGCTGCTCTAATACTGTGTTTTATGTTCCTTCGTGATACTGAGTCAACACCGTGTTCAATGTGCTGCTGCTCACCAGCGCAACAAATTAAATCAATCCCCCTCTAAATTTAGTTTCTAACAAATGCAGAAATAACTCCTGTCTAAGTAGCAGTCACTGCAGTCCCCAGTGATTTAAGCCTTTTTCACAGAGGGCATGTTGCAGTAGATAAAGCTTAGATGGAAATAAACAGCGTTAATTGCTGGTGCAGTAGAGACATCAGAGACATCCAGGCTTTTCCTACACTCTAAAAGAAAATCTGTCATTTTACTGACTTTTTCCTTTCTATTTTACAGATTTTTTCCACATTTTTTGAGTACATGAAAATATCAATGAAGTTACAAGAATAGGCTAGGAATTAGCAGGTTTAATGTAAATTACCATCAAAAAACCAAAAGATCTATGAGATATACAAGTTACATGTATAAACCCTGTGACTCTATTCCAGTCGCAGTCATAAATGTTTAATAACTGCAGTCTTGTAATTTAAAAAAAACACAAGAAAGAGAAGGAAATTCATTAATTGTATTGGTTGGCACTCTTAAATTGACCGTCTGTTTAACAATGAAAAGTTACATGTAGAAACTCAATTCAAACACTCAGACAGCAATTCAAATGAAACCTGAATTACTAATTACCACTACTTGAGTTTTTCTGCCAAAAAATAAATAAAAGTAGACATTAAAACACAACTAATGATGACTTTTTTTTTTTGCAGTGCTAAGCCTTATTATATGTATTATAACATCATTGGTAATTACATTGTCTTCAGACATGTAAATGTATTTTACTAAACATTACTGAAATAATAATAAGAAGAAGAAATTATATTTTCATAATGTAAAATTACAGTTTTTGATGAGATGGTTATTTTCCATTGTTTTACTGTACTTTTTGTCTCCCCTGTTGCTGGAATATTACTGTGTTTGTGGACATTTTTAATAGCCAGACAGAGGTGTCGGATTAGATCGTTGTCGTATGACTTTTTAAAGCATGACGACTCACATATTAATATATATTACCATGTTAATGCCTTCAGATGTGGTGAGTATGATAAATGGTTATCAGCTGACATAGTGGACATAGTGTGACTTAGAGGATCCAACCAGTACAAATTCATTTCCTCTAAACACACACACAGTGTACCAGAGTGTGTGGTAGCAAACCGTCATGTGATCTTACCTGACTGTGGCTGTCCTCTGAAACTGGCACACAGCCTTCACCTGTGGGTGGAAGCCGTCTTTAGTGTGCAGCGCTGCATTTGGACTAAAACACTGGGAAGAAAATTGCAAGAAGAAGCAGTCAGAAAAAATATACTTTTTTTACCTAACAAATAAACCAGTGTTATTAAAAATGCAGAATGCAGTTTTTATTTGGGGTAAAGGTTTTTCAGCTCACTGAGGCATTTTGCAAATTAGAAACTGTCCACTTGTCGGACTGAGACTAAGTAACCTCATCATCAATACTAATTCTGTTAGTTGTAACTGCATTACAGTGTGTGTGTGTGTGTGTGTGTGTGTGTGTGTACTAACCCTTGGAAGCTGAGAAATGACTCGGTCTTTCTTCACAGGTGGCAACATTCTGCTGCAGTTGATCAGTGAAAACACACATACACAGAAAAACACCTTCACTGCACCACAACAAACACTCTTTTCATTCAGCTCACGATGTCACACACCTTCTTCTGTTTTGTTTTTTTGTTGTTTTTTTTCTCTCAACACTCATCCCACAACAGTAGTGAAAGACACAGTTAATGTCTTCCACGCCTGCCTGAAATAGAACAAATGTCCAAAAGGGAAGAATGTTAGTTTTAGTACAAGCAGAGAATACAGTTAGTCAGAAAATGTTCTCTGTAATCAAATCAAATCAAGTTTATTTATGCAGCATATTTCAAAGCGCCCTGAGTTGACCAAATGCTGTGCACATAAACATGCGCAGAAAGTAAGACAGGATAAAGACTTGCAAAATTCATTTGTAAAGTAATTACGAAGTGTGAAAAACAAGAAAAAATAGGACAACAACTGTAAGATCACATTTCAAAATGAAATAAATACAGAGTACAAAATATTAAAGCCAATAAGAGCAACCAAAAGTCATTTAAAACGTGTAAATCTTGAGATTTGTCCTAAAAACGTCAATGGCAGACAGACATATTGAGACAGGAAGCTTATCCTCCAGGTTTGGATAATGTCCTCACTAACCACTAAACAGTCTTGCAGAATGTCGACCACTATTCAGTGGAATCTGTCAGGTTAGATAAAATAAATGTATTTTCAAGCTAAAAAGTTGCATTTCATACTGGCCAGTTTGTAGGTCAAAGATTATGGATGGTGTGATGTGAGGAGTGTGCTGGCAAATAGAGGATGGAACATCCGTAGAGGAGAAAAAATGTTTGTTTGTCTGAAACAAAATGGGGTCTAAATGCAATAGAGTTTGAGGAAGTTTAACAACTTTACCTGAAGCAGGAGAAAGAAGTGGGTCTGAAGATGTGATATCCAAAGTTTGCCAAAGAAACAAATCCAGAACAAAATGAGGCTCACAGCAAAGAAGTCAGTCTCCTCAGTCTTTGCTCCGCACAGACAGCAGACACACAAACTGGCAATTAATAGTCTCTCAAATTAAAGAGAACCAGTCCGTTTCCTGTCCAGCAGCACCATCCTCAGGCCACAGGCTGCTCTGACTCACTGACTTATAGCTATATATTTATATAGCTAAATGATTTTTTAAATTTCTTTTTTTTCACTGAATGTATTGTTTAAATTAGATAAAATTACATTTAATATTTTATTGCCATGTACAGTTGGCTCATCTTTTGTTGTTTTTAGAGCTGTTGTAGTCAGTCAGTTTCATTTTATTCTATAAATCTGCATTTTATTTTATTCTGTGCTGTTTTTAATTCATTTGATTTAATCAAGTTTTACTGCATTTTTTTTTTTTTAACATTATTTCTTTTTTGTTTTTTGTTTGTTGTACATTTCCCTGTGCAACAATTTCAAACCCTCTTTGTATGATAGGGTGCAATATAAATAAACTTGCTTGCTTCAGGAGGATAAATAGAAGGTGAAAACTACATCATTACTTTTGTGTCTTTCTGTCATTTTAATGAACTTTCAATAGCTCATGCAATAAAATATTAAGTAAAAGTATGAACTGCAGAACATACTAACAAAAATGAACAACTGAAGGCATACACAAGGAAGAAAAAAATTAAATAAAACACAACCAAAATATGAGCAGCAAGAAAAAGTTCAGAAGTCAAAGTTGGACTTCAAGTGTTATCATTAAAATGTCAGTTATTGAAAGTCCATCTTTAAAGAAAATTTTATTGGAAAGCACTGTTGGCCAATGTTTTAGATGTGTGTTTTAAATGACATTTATTCTTTTCTTTTTTTTTTTTATTAGTTGTTTGTTGAAGTCAAGCAGCCAAACATTTGTAATGGATTTAAAAACGCAATGTTTCCTTTTAAAATATAGTCATTGTATAGATTTAGCTGAAGTCCTGTGTCCAATTATTGTTTCTGTGTCTCTTTCAAATCCAAATGTCAGTTAATGTTTTTTTGTTTGTTTGTTTGTTTGTTTGTTTTTAAAGCAATTAAACTCTAAATACTTAGTGCACACATTTAGAATCTTAAACACTCCGGGTCAGCAGGCGGCGACTGAGCGCCTCACACGTCGATGTAACGCGCCATTAATAGTGAAGAAATAGTGACGTAGAACGTCTGCGACGGTCGGGCTTTAAAAGCGTTTCCGACCGCGTTCCTGATCCTTTTCACTTCGTCTGCCGTTCCTCTCGGTTGAGTTGGAGTGTGGCAGTTTTTATTGAAGCTGTTAGCAGAATTCAATAATTACCAGACCACACTACTAACCGTTCAAATAACACACGTAAGTTAAGCTACGAGTTTACTGTGTTTAGTTCAATTGTAATGTGTTTTAGCTGTAGTTAGTAGATAGGTGGTAGGCCTCTGGCAGCCACGTGGAGAGAACAGGAAGATGTCGAGTGAAACCTAAAGGGAGATTTGGTGCCTTATTTGTCTCACTTTGCTATAAGTTTGTGTTTTGCTGCAAATTTCTGTTTTATATAAAGTGTTTTTCCTGCAAAAGTCTGAAGACACGTGCCTTACTAAACAAGGTTATGTTGGTGTCCCTAAAAGGACTTAAATGTCATTGCTAATCTTACAGTAGAACGTTTCCAATGCGTGTTGTGGCCTTCTTAAAATATATTGGAATGTATAATTGATTTGATTATCCCATTTTAGAATGAATGTGGCATTAACGTGTAACCCAAATGATAATGAGAAATGACGTTTTAACCCAGTTCACTCATAGATTCCTGCTTAAAGTTGTCACTATTTCTGACTATAGTATGAGGCAGCATGTTGACCTATGTCTGTCTTTCTTTCTTTAACTTTTACTCTTTTGTTCCCTTCAGGTGGGCAGCACAAGTTTAACAAATGTCCAAATCAAGTGATCATGGGATCTCCTCTTATTGCCAGGAGGTGAGTGAAAGTGAAATGAACCCCACTATCTGTATTAATGCAATTGTGTCTGTGATGAAACCTGTGAATAGGAAGTGCCGTCTGATGCGATAACTGACGATGTTTCTTTATCACTGCTCTGAGCCCCTAAGCTGGAATTGATTCTGGATGTGGAACCTTGATGCACCTTCAATGGATGTTAACTGTCTTATTTTCTTTTTAAGGCTCATCAGGACAGGCCAGCTCAGAAGGATGAAAATACAGGACTGAGGTTGGTTTTTTAAGGCACTCTTACCAGAGTTAAATTTGCTGAAGCCATAAAATTTAGTGATAAATTCTGAAACAAACTGTTAAATTACCAGTGGATCATTGCTCAGTGGTGTTTTAGTTATCAATCCTGTAGTTTTATGTTAAAATACCTGAACACAATATCACTAATATTTCTTTTCTTCTGCAGCTGAAAAGACTTGTGTGAGCTGCCATAAAGAATGTGAAGACAAAGAAAACGCTTCTTCTTTTGAGCAGATGTTTGAAAGCTGGGTAAGTAAACATGTTTTCATTAATGTGGTGCTTGGTGAGCTTTATAGTGATGAAAATGCGGAATAGGAAGTGCCGTCAGATGCGACAACTGACAATGTCTCATCCAATTTTCTGAATCTTAAGTGGTTTTATAAGTAATATAGTTACATTTCTCTGTTGCTTGACTAATGTTGTCTTTTTCCCTCTCTTTCAAGTTGCCATGCAGCGCTGTGTGTGCTCCCAAGTAAACAAGCCGACAGTCTATCGATTTCATGCGGGTGAGTTTGCATTCTCTCATTAAACTGGGTAAAATGACTACTTCTGTTGTGATGAAACTTAAACTGATATAGCTGGAATTACCGGCAGATTGTTCAGTGTTGATCATTGGTTTTCTGAACTCAAAATGACAGTCAGATTTTGTCTGGAGTTGACTGGATCAGGGCTTGATTTTCACAATTTTGAACTTTGTTTTTGCTTTCTCAAGGTTGAGCTGGTTTTTGGGGAAGTGATTCATCGTCTGCAGTGCAGCTAGGCCTTTGGGACGGCAATTGTAAGTTCTTTTAAAGATGCCTTTTTTTTTTGACATATAGTCTTAAGTTTTTCTAAGCTCACCTTTGTCCAACAAATACAGACTTCTTGATTGAACAAGCATATCGCATGTTGTAACAAACAGAAATTTTTTCAGATTTGGCAGTCAAAATTTTCATCTAAACTCTGACATAGGCAGGAAATGAGCAGAAATTTGAAATGCACACACTGCAGGCATCAGTTTGTGGTCATCTGCTACCTTTTACACCACCAGTCTATATACTACAATACCCTCAGAAGCCAAATCATTTTTTTTAAATCAAATTGTTCCTGACTTGGTACGTGGGCCAGTTTGTCCAGTCTGAATTATATGGATTGAATTTAAATTTGTCGGGCAGCAAAATTTGTCAGTCTAGTGCTTTGATTGTTGCACAGCGGTGAGTTTGTTGGGAAAACGTGTTTGCCCAGAGGTCAGTGAATCCTGGAGCAGCTTTATCAATGATGATAACCTGGAATAGGAAGTGCCGTCAGATGCGACAACTGACGATAGTCTCTAATCCACTTTTCTGAGTCTTTAAAGTTAAACTCAAGTCACAATTTCAAAGTACATCTGTCTGTTCTTAATTCTCCAACTTATTTGATGTTATTACAGATGTAATGTCGCCGGTCTGATCCTGGACCGTGAAGTTTGGCATCCAGTGACTTTGACAGGTACTTTTTCAATCTGTAATACGCAACTACGACTATATAATTCATTTGTTGTGATGAAACCTAAACTGAAAAAGCTGGAATTACCGGCAGATTGTTCAGTGGTGACTTTCGGTTTTCTGAACATTAAATCGCAACATTGCACAGTACTCTGAATGACATGATTACTAGACTAACATGCTATTTTTTTTTAACCTTCAGAATTGGATGAGCGGTTGCAGCAACTATGTCTGTGTACCGCCAAGCTCCATATGGTAAGATATGTGCATATAATTTAAGTCCAATGATGATACAATGTTGATATCATTTAAACTGAACGACCAGGCAAATATCTGCACTGCTCAATTTAAAAATTCCCAAAACGGCTGTAGTTTGACCCCTGCTGAGGAAACTGAGTCGCAGCAAAGTATTACCAGGATTTAGTAAAACTGCTTGTAATTGTAAACATCAACCACAGACCTGTTAAGCAAACAAACTTCTTAAATAATTTGCGGGGGATTTGTCATGTACTTTTATCCACTCCTTCTGAATAAGAATCTTTTATAGATAATCTTCTCTGCTCAGTGTGCTTCCTGATGTTCAGTAGTGATTGTAGATGAAACACAGGCAGTGTGCTCAGTGGTGGCTACAGATTTTCTAATAAACACGATACATGTTTTTAATCCAGCTTCATCTCTTTCTCAGGTGGCAGGACAACTAATGGACACTGGCCTGAAGATGGATCACATTTATTAAACATTTTACTCTGTAGAAAGCAGAATGATTTATTGTTTTTAATTTCAATAAACTGTCAAAACCGATTCTTGATCCCTGTCATGTAATTTGAGTCTCCACAATGGCACATGCAAGCACATGTTTAAGAGTAAACCTAGAGACAAGGGGAATCAATCCTTTGGAAACAAAACATAGAACAAGCCTTTTTTTGGTTTGTTTTTTTTTTTGGTTTTTTTTGGCCAGGTGCAATTACAGAAAACCAACATGACTGGTTTTCCTTTGCCTTTAATCTCTGTCCTCACTTGTCTTAGTCTGAGTGTGGAATTAACTTGAGCAGTTTTCCACATAGTGAACACCAAAGTTCTTCACTAAAGCAAGATTTAGATTTTTAACTTGTCTCTTGGACTGTTGTCTCTGCTGCTGCTTGACACTGCTCTGGTAGACTGCATCATGCTAATAGAGGTGTAATAAAGGGTTGGAAGGCTTTTAAGTTGGTGACAAACTCAGTGTGAGTAGATACTGACAAGTGATTGAAGAAAGATGGAAGTGCTGGTCCAGGATGGTTGTCCTGCAGGCATTCATGGTGGAGACATCTTATGTGAGATGACAACCTAGTTGTGGAGAGCTTGTAACTTGTGAACACCCACCAGATTTCACACTTCAAACATGGCAACAGATCCATGTTTTACTGTATATAAACATGGACAAAAGGGGGTGTAACAGATTCCACTGACCTACATTTGGAGATTCTGGTATTTAACATGACCACCAAAGTTCTAACTTATTCTGTCATCTTAAGGAGACTACGGTGTCATAACTCAACAGGGGTCATTGGAAACCTGGACCTGCACCTTCTGTTTCTGTTTGTTGACCTCTGAGTCACCAGGTGCTGTTGCAAGAACTCTGCAGTAGCATATACAGGGATCCAACATTTTATGCATTTGTTTCAAATTTAACACAAAAGCTGTGATTACAAATGTCATCCTCACAACTTGAGAGAAAAATTTAATCTGTAATGAATGTACATAGAGTTCAGAATGTCTTAGTGTTTGCTCTGGCCTCCTTTACTTTTAAGACACTCGAGCCACTCTGCAAGTTTGTACAAAACCTGATAATCGGTGTTATCCCAGTGTGATCTGACAATGATCCAACAAGCTTTCGAGGTGTGTTTAGGCTCATTATCCTGCTGCAGAATGAATAAGTCACCACAAAAATGCAAACCTGAGGATGCAGCATGTCTCTAAAAAACAGAGTGCTGCTACTCCTTAGTCAGGATAAGGTTGATTCAGTGCAGGTGTCCCGAGCAGCGAAACACCCCCAGACATGAATAATCCCACCACCATGTTTTTCTATTATTCTCTCTGCTGTTGGTCTCTTTACATACATCTTACTGTTACTGCCAGAAATCTAAAACTTGAGTTTATCTGTAAAAAAAAAAAAAAAAAAAAAGATTTCTCCGCCATCTACTGTGAAATGTCAGCGAGTCTTAGCCCAACCCAAGTGTTTCCTCACCTCCCAGCTGAGGAAACACTTAGCCCAACCCAAGTGTTTCTTCAGCTGGGAGGTGGTTTGGAGATTTCACTTGTGCTCTGGGGTCACTACTGGGCAGACTTCTTTGAGAGGACTTTGAGTCGTGTGCTTTTTGTTTAGCAAATTCTGTGTGTGTGCTGGAGTTATTTTTCTATTTCTGGGTGAACGTAGCTTGATACATTCATTTTCTGATGGTCTGCTCAGTTTCGATTGTGGTTTGTATATAAACTGGCCCCGCTTCAATCCATTTAGGAAAAGACACTGAGAGCGTTCCTCTTTGCTCAGAGTAACAATTGGACTGATGCGGCTGTCACTTCATTCCTACTGTATCACAATCCTCCTCAGTAAGTAATGTCTGTTGAAACTCTGTTGGAAACTTGACGTTCAGTCATATTTATAACAGGACAACAATAGCCAGAAGCTGATTAACTTGAACAGGCCTTCAACCCACCAGAGTGTCATGTGTTCAGTCGAAGAGATGCAACTCAAGGAAATCTGATCTTTAGTACCAAGGCAGGCAATGGCCAAACTTTGCCTAAATTAGATTTCTTTCCTAGAAGCAGGGGCAGATCTACTGGGATGGCATGGCACCCCTAGAATATGCCATCCCAGTTCCCAACGATCTAATTCAAAAAAATATGTATATGAAAGGTTGTGGCCGGAGAGAGAGAAAGTTCGGATGCGACGAATAACGAGCGAAACTCCGATGTCCGAGTGCTTGCGAATGCACCATTAAGGCGTAACGGTTCTAGTACAGATGCGTACAGTCGTCCTCAAATGTATTCACATCCTTCCATTAAATAAAAGGCAAAGTTAATTAGAAACTGAAAAAGTAACAATAAATATTTTTTAAAAAAGGATAAATTATAGTTTAGTGAAATAAGACATTGCTTTTGAGTTGTGGTTGAAAAGAATTGGGGGAAAAAAATTCGAGCACTTTGCTGATGAGCAGTGGGTCAAAATCATAAAACCTGTCAACAGGTGCAGAAGTCTGATTGAGAGTTACAGAAAATACTTGAATGCAGTGATTGGCTCAAAGGGTTGTTGGTTTATGGATAGCATCATGCTTGTTTGCTTGTTTTCGTTTGTCTGTCTGTCTGTCTGTCTGTCTGTCTGTCTGTCTGTTTGTTTGTTTGTTTGTTTGTTGTTTTTAAATAATTCTGTTGGACCACAATTCCAAAGCAATTTCAGGATTTTCATTACATGTTTTATTTATTATTACTTTTGTCAGTTTCAACGTATTTCAGGGACAGCCGTTCTTTGTCCTTCTTTAATGGGAGGATATGAAGAAATTTGAGACTGTACGAGGCGTCACAAGCCCTCACACCCCGGATGAGGCTGCTCACAGGCGGCCACGCCCGTGTGGACGACAATCGGACTTCGGCCAGCAAGACGTGAAAGTGAGACACCAGGTAGAGCACACGGTAATATAACTGAACACTATCTATTAACCCTTAGAGGTGCGCCGTCACACCAGCTGGTTATAATTATATGACCTTTTTGATGCCGCCAACTTCTGTCGGAAGTGCAGACTTGAAACTTTCTCCCAGATTTTGTTTCGTGTCGATAGACCACAAAAAACAGAGATATGATGTTATGAATGTGCGTGAAAAGAACGTGTGTAAAATATAGGCGCATGAAATAGTGGCTGCAGGCGTCGCATTTCTTTCAACATCTCCGTCATTGTTTGTGACGGACGAACCGAAAGTGAACACAGTCCTGTGAATGGCTGTCTGCCTCATTGTGGACACAAACTGTTTTCAGGAGTGGCATAAATAAACACAAAGAAAGCCACACCTGCTTTGTATATACTTGCAAATATTTGTATTTAGTTTGATTTGATATCAAATGTACTTTTTTCAAATTCATATCTGCAACCTACGGCATGGTTACATTTTCAACCTTTAGAATGCTGCGTTAAGCATGTTTGTGGTTTTTATTGTAACAAGTAATACATTTTGTATTTTTTGCGTGTTTTTGAGGCCAAAATGTTAATTTAGTAGGTTAAACTGGGGGAAAAATAGTAGTCAGATCATATAGGTGATGTTGTGCTGAAAAAAGCTACCAAACAGTAAACATGTGTTTATGTGGTATACAAAGACCAAACTAGAAGTATGCAAAAACAGCCAAAACAGTTCAAGACCTCGAAGGGTTAAACGCTCGTAGTGTCTACGTTTACATAAAGTGCTGCGAGACGAGCCACGGTTTTCAGTGAGCCTGGGCCTTGTTAATTTTCACGTATGCAGCGAGCTAACATTAAAGAACAGCCACAGAAGGGGGTGGGGACACGTCCCTACCACTATCCAGCCACTAATGTGTAGTTACTATCAATACAGCTGCTGTCCGCAGTGTTGTCAATGATTTTGGCACACAAAGGGTCCCGCCTCTAACCTTAATGTTGCTCTCCGATTGGCTCTGCCGGGTTCTCGCTAACGTACATGTGATTGGCCGTCCCTGCTGTCACTCCATTGCTTAGAACCTGTTGGACAGGACAGAAGGCAGTGCATGTATCTGTAACCGCGAGTGTAAGCAGGTACTGCAACCATAAAAAATGTTTACGGAAATCAACATGAATGTTATATATAATATATATTATATAATGATTATTAATCAGTGGTGTCATTTACATTTACGTTTGTATGTGTCTGTTTGCGTGTGTGTGCGCGCGCGTGTGTGTGCGCGCGCGCTTGGTAATTAGGATTTGAAGGATGTCAAAGAAAAGAAAACTGGAAACAAGCCACTTCTTGAGGAGTCAACGTGTAAGTTACTTCAAGGGTATATAACTGTACAGGCTTAACGATACGGATATTGAATGAAACAAAATATTTAATGCCAAAGAGACACACTTTTTAAAGTTATTTTTACTTATTATTTTAATGTATTTATGTGGAAGAGAGCAACTGTTTAAAAACAAAGAAAATTTTTAGTGAAAATGAAATAAAACCTCAGATTCTCATGTGATTTTTATACATTCATATTTTGGAGGAATAAATTACACGTAACAATTAAAAGTAAAAGCCTTTTTTCCCCACAGATGTGTGTTCATCTAAATATTCCAATCTGTGCTTACAGTGTATATTTTGAAACCACAAGGGGGGGTAAAGAAAGAAAAAAATAGTTATGTAATGTTTGTGTGTGTGAATTTAATCTGGCATGCAACACCTTTATTAAAGATAAAGGCATGCCCACTCAAGCCTCGTGCCTGACGTGTCTGGTATGCAGTCGATGTGTATAAACGAGACGAAGGAATCTTTCTTTCGTCACACTGTGTTTATACACAGTACTGGACTCCTTTGCCATTTGTTAAGTTGAGTTTTGTCTCAAAACAGAAGCCTTCGCTGCCGCTCTCCAACATGACATCCACCTGTGTGAAGATGATTCACTCGCTCTATGAGCAGGGAGGCGAGGGAAGCCCTTCTAATCCTGTGAAACTGAAAGGCCAAGACTTTAAGCAGCTCAAGGAAACTCTGCTCCGTGAGGGGAAGAAGTTTGAGGATGAAACTTTTCCAGCAAACCTCGACTCTCTGGGAAAANGTTACATTTTACTTTTCTTCTATATATAGAGACAACAACCAGAACAAGTCTTTTTTTTTTTGCCCATTGCAGTTACAGACTTAAACTCCTCATTGTGTCGGTTCAAATTATCAGTAACTGCTTTTACATGTGCCGTAGGCAGAAGACACCCCAGACTGCACAGGTGAACATCCAGGATCTGGACATTGAGATGGTGGAGACCTATAGATTCCTGGGTGTTCACCTCAACAATAAACTGGACTGGTCCAACAACACAGATGTTCTGTACAAGAAAGGGAAAGTCGTCTCCACCTGCTGAGGAGACTGAGGTCCTTTGGAGTGTGCACGACGGTGCTCTGGACATTTCATAACACTCTGGTGGCGTCTGCTCTTTTCTATGCAGTGGTCTGGTGGGGAGGAGGGAGCACAGACAGGTCAGGAGGGCCGGTTCTGTCCTGGACTACTCCCTGGACCCCATAGAGGAGGTGGGTGAGAGGAGGATGTTAGCAAAGCTCACATCCATCATGGACAACCCCTCTCACCCGCTGCATGAGACTGTGGGGGCTTTAAGTAGCTCCTTCAGCAGCAGACTTGGACGTCCTCCCTGCAAGAAGTAGCGCTACCACAGGCCATCCTCACAACTGCAATGAGACTGTACAACATCAGCATCACTTGACATGCCCTCCGCCTTTGGCTCCACCTAGTGGAGCGTTTCTTGTATTGCTTCATCTTTTCCTATGCAACAAGCCGGAGGGACAAGTGAGCAGGTGTTGTGAATCGCAACCAGCCGATTGCTCCAGCTGCGGCGAGGCGTGGCTTGCCATTCACTCACCAGACCTGCATGCAGTACTAAAGACACCAGCAAGCTCTTGATTCCTGTTCTCACTGTTCTCATGTGCTTCAGTTTCGCCACATTCGCTGCCAACCCGTGATCCATTCTTCGTTCCTGATTCCTCTTCGTTGATTCCTCTCCGTTGATTCCTGTGGCTCCAGTCCTCCGTATCCTCTGTGCCCCTCTGCTGGAGTCACCTGGTCCACCTGTGTCCCCCCCTCTCTAGCTCCCTGTACTGTAGTCAGCCTTATCTCTCGCCTACTCAACCAGTTGTCATTACTTATAGGTTTGTATTCGTTGCGGTAAGTTTTGATTAATTCCTAAGTATAGTTCGTCGTCCTCTAGAGGACGTCTTGTGAAATTTCTTGTATTTGTTAGCAGTAGTTTAGTTCGCTGGTTCTTTAGGGGATTTTAGTTCGTCATTTTTGTCCTGTATCATTATTTGTAATAAATTGTGATTCGTTGAATTCAACTTCTTGGTGGTCGAGTCTTTTGTCTGATCCTTTGTGTGTCAAACCGTGACATCACTGGCTGATGTTCACCAAACGGACAAAATGAGCAAATGGTCAAAATTCACTTTTGCACTGAAAATTTGCACAAGTCTGTTACTTTTTCAGTGTAAATATTGTTTATTTTTTTCATTCAATTGTATATTTTTGTCGTCTTGTGTATATACTTATCTTATTACTTAATTGTTATTTCCTAGTACTTTTCTTCTATATATTTTGGATGCTGCTGTGGCATGTAAATATCCCCCAATGGGGATCAATAGAAAAATATTCTATTCTACAGGACAGATAAGGGACAAAGGACAACCAATGTGACTGGTTTTCCTTTGTCTGTGATCACTTGTCTTTGTCTGAGTGTGGAATTAACTTGAGCAGTTTTCCACATAGTGAACACCAAAGTTCTTCACTAAAGCAAGATTTAGATTTTTAACTTGTCTCCAGTATTGTTGTCTCTACTGCTGCTTGACACTGTGCTCTGGTAGACTNCCCTCTCACCCGCTGCATGAGACTGTGGGGGCTTTAAGTAGCTCCTTCAGCAGCAGACTTGGACGTCCTCCCTGCAAGAAGTAGCGCTACCACAGGCCATCCTCACAACTGCAATGAGACTGTACAACATCAGCATCACTTGACATGCCCTCCGCCTTTGGCTCCACCTAGTGGAGCGTTTCTTGTATTGCTTCATCTTTTCCTATGCAACAAGCCGGAGGGACAAGTGAGCAGGTGTTGTGAATCGCAACCAGCCGATTGCTCCAGCTGCGGCGAGGCGTGGCTTGCCATTCACTCACCAGACCTGCATGCAGTACTAAAGACACCAGCAAGCTCTTGATTCCTGTTCTCACTGTTCTCATGTGCTTCAGTTTCGCCACATTCGCTGCCAACCCGTGATCCATTCTTCGTTCCTGATTCCTCTTCGTTGATTCCTCTCCGTTGATTCCTGTGGCTCCAGTCCTCCGTATCCTCTGTGCCCCTCTGCTGGAGTCACCTGGTCCACCTGTGTCCCCCCCTCTCTAGCTCCCTGTACTGTAGTCAGCCTTATCTCTCGCCTACTCAACCAGTTGTCATTACTTATAGGTTTGTATTCGTTGCGGTAAGTTTTGATTAATTCCTAAGTATAGTTCGTCGTCCTCTAGAGGACGTCTTGTGAAATTTCTTGTATTTGTTAGCAGTAGTTTAGTTCGCTGGTTCTTTAGGGGATTTTAGTTCGTCATTTTTGTCCTGTATCATTATTTGTAATAAATTGTGATTCGTTGAATTCAACTTCTTGGTGGTCGAGTCTTTTGTCTGATCCTTTGTGTGTCAAACCGTGACATCACTGGCTGATGTTCACCAAACGGACAAAATGAGCAAATGGTCAAAATTCACTTTTGCACTGAAAATTTGCACAAGTCTGTTACTTTTTCAGTGTAAATATTGTTTATTTTTTTCATTCAATTGTATATTTTTGTCGTCTTGTGTATATACTTATCTTATTACTTAATTGTTATTTCCTAGTACTTTTCTTCTATATATTTTGGATGCTGCTGTGGCATGTAAATATCCCCCAATGGGGATCAATAGAAAAATATTCTATTCTACAGGACAGATAAGGGACAAAGGACAACCAATGTGACTGGTTTTCCTTTGTCTGTGATCACTTGTCTTTGTCTGAGTGTGGAATTAACTTGAGCAGTTTTCCACATAGTGAACACCAAAGTTCTTCACTAAAGCAAGATTTAGATTTTTAACTTGTCTCCAGTATTGTTGTCTCTACTGCTGCTTGACACTGTGCTCTGGTAGACTGCATCATGCTAATAGATGTGTAATAAAGGGTTGGAAGGCTTTTAAGTTGGTGACAAACTTGGTGTGAGTAGATACTGACAAGTGAGTGAAGAAAGATGGAACTACTGGTCCAGGATGGTTGTCCTGCAGGCATTTATGATGGAGACATCTTTATTATGCATGATGACAACCTAGTTGTGGAGAGCTTGTAACTTTTGAACACCCACCAGAGATGTCACACTTCATCAAACATGCCAACAGATCCATGTTTACTGTATATGAATGTGGACAAAAGGGGGTGTAACAGATTCCACTAACCTACAGTTGGAGTTTCTGGTATTTAACATGAGCATCAAAGTTCTAACTTATTCTGTCATCTTAAGGAGAATATGGTGTCATAACTCACCAGGGGCATTGGAAACCTGGACCTACACCTTCTGTTTGTTTGTTGACCTCTGAGTGACCAGGTGCTGTTGCAAGAACTCTGCAGTAGCATATACAGGAATCCAACATTGTATGTACTTGTTTCAAATTTAACACAGAGTCTGTGATTACAAATGTCATCCTCACAACTTGAGAGAAAAGTTTAATCTCTAATGAATATACATAGAGTTCAGAATGTCTTAGTGTTTGCTGTGCCCTCATTTACTTCTAAGACACTCAAGCCACACACAAGCCACTCTGCAAGTTTGTACAAAACCTGATAATCGGTGTTATCCCAGTGTGATCTGACAATGATCCAATAAGCTTTCGAGGTGTGTTTAGGCTCATTATCCTGCTGCAGAATGAATAAGTCACCACAAACATGCAAGCCTGAGGATGCAGCATGTCTAAAAAACAGAGTGCTCCCGGACAAATGAGAGCACTTTGCTGATGAGCAGTGGGCCAAAATTAAAATACCTGTCAACAGGTGTAGAAGTCTGATTGAGAGTTACAGAACACACTTGATTGCAGCGATTGGCTCAAAGGGTTGTTCAACAAAATATTACTTTACGGGTCCCATCGTCTGCAAGGTGAAGCGGAGGTTAGCACTGTTGCCTCGCAGCAAGAAGGTTGCCGGTTCGTCAGGACACCGGGATCTTTCTGCATGGAGTTTGTATGTTCTCCCTGTGCAGTGTGGGTTCTCTCCGGGTTCTCCGGCTTCCTCCCACAGTCCAAAAACATGTTGAGGTTAA